GTCAGTTCCTGTTACACCTCTTGACCTAAATAAGAGGCTAATGCTGATTGAACCTGGTGCTGGAAAAGAAAAACTATCCTCCTGTTTCTTCCTTCCCTTTTCATTCCCTCAGTGTTAAGGAGGAGAATGAGAATCCTCTGTGGACTGAGCTCTTCTGGCTTCCTGGAACAGAGCAGCCTTTACTGAAACAAGTTTGACCTGTTTGGTGGTATTTGACAAAAAACCCCACAACCTTCTGGGCTGGCAGAGATAGATAATGTGTAACAGTTAAGGATTTTCATGTCCTTAAGGTGAGGGAGTTAAGATGCCTCCAGGACACAAAGGTCTTCATTTTTCCATCAGAAGGAAGAAGAGGTGTCTGGACCTACAGGTCCTGGTTGTAACATTCTGCATCAGACCAACAGGTCAGCTCCAAGGTGCAGTGCTGCAAGCTGGGCCATGAGAAGTTTGGAGGCCTCCCATGTGTACAAAGGGGGAAGCTCCATCCAGCTCCAGAGGGATTCCTGACAAGCTGCCAGTGAGTGCCCTGGCTTATCACCTGGCTTGTGATCTCGTGGATGTTGGGGCAATAAGGCACAGTGTGCTGTCTTCATCAGATGTAAGATATGAAATATATATATACTAAATATGCTGAAACCATGAACAATGTTGACTGGACTCTGGATTTATTGATGTTCAGATGCTTAAATAAAGCTACATTAAAATCAGGAGATCTGTTTATAAAACTGCTTTTAAGAAAAATGTAAATCTTGCTTCCCTTAGTCCATTCATTATGAAACATCTAAACAGTCTAGGGGATAATATAATTAAATCTCCATCTGAGAGGCAAGGTACTGTAAAAGCTTTTCTGGCTTCTAATAGGGTTAGTGTCTTGAAATTGTGTTAGAGCTGGGGCCACAGCTGAAAGGATGGGGAAGGACTGATGCTGATTGGATTGTATTTGTATTTGCCTGAGCATTTTAGATCACAGAAAGGACAAAAATTGCTAGGTGGGCTTTGCTTCTTGAATAAAGCAGCAATGGCTTCAGGTTTAGCTGCAGAAATGCTGCTTTCCAGTGAGTTCCCTGTGGTGGATGTGGGGGCTGTTTGGATGGTGAAGGAAACTTTTTTTCCTTAGCCTGTGCTGAAAGATAGCACTGGAGAGTAATGGCCACTGAATGGGATGTTGACTCTATTTGCTATTCAAGGCCACTGGGTGACTGTTTTATTACACGTGTATTTTAGACCAGGCAGGGCTGAAAGGGCAAAGCACCCCTTAGGAGTTTCACCTGGCTCACAGGAGCAGTGAGATTTCTCCAGCATGCCTAGATTGGAAGTGAGTGCTTTGACTCTTGTTTCCAGGTGTGGTCGTAGTTATACAACCTAAACTTTGCACAGCTGGGTTAGAGTGTCTCTAAGCAGCTCCTGGAAGTGTGCTGCAGTGCTTCTGGAATCCTGCAAGCTCCTGAACAGCTCTGGATCCCAGCAGGATGGGTGAACAAGAGGCTGTTCTGCCAGAAGGGAGGGACTGCCTCCAGCTCCTGACCAAGTCACAGTGCTGTGCTCCTGCTGCTTCCTGAGTAGACTGCCCTGGGCCTGAGGTGTGCAAAGCAATTGTGAGACAGGCTGGTATTGATCATGCATGAAAACACCAGCTTTGTGCTGCTTTTGCAATAGTCCAAGCTTAACTCTTGGTTATGGCTTTTGGGGCTTGAGAGCTCTCTATGTGGCAAAATGGGGATGAGCAGTCTGATAACATTTTATACTGGAAACACAAAGACATTATCACCCTGAAAGATAGCCATGTGTATTATGTATTTCTGGTACATGCTGCTTGGTCTCTCTTTTGATTGTTGTATGACAAGATGGAAAAAGCTTTAAAACTTCCAAGGATAAGTTCTAGACCATGAGTCCTGAACATGTTTATGACCAAGGGCTGCTGCAAAACTCAACCCACAGCAGAGTGAGCCACTTCCCAAACTTTTCTGGATCCCTCATTCTGTGCGTGGATGTCCTTACATCCACAATCCATCCTTGTTGCAAGTATCCAATCCATGAATATTCTGTATTTTCCTTCAAGTTTCCATCAGACTGAAGCTTAGGGGGTTTATTTCTGACACAGATCTATGCATTCACAAAAAGCATTCAGTTTAAGCAGACAGTCACTGCCCTGGTCAGTGTCTTGTTCTCCTGACAAGCATTTCAAAATGGTAGCAAACCAGATTATTTATTAGCTGCTAAACCATACAGCAACTTGAATTAAACCCACCTGTTTCCTTAATAGCACTTCTGAGCTGAACAAGTTCTTGGAGATCACAAGGATGCTCATCCCTTGTTAGGATTGAAGGTTAGTGACATGCACTTTACCTTTTCTGCTAAATACCCCAAAAAGTGATAAGTTGCAATTATTTTGAACCAGCTGAAAGGCACGGAATACCAATTAAATGTGTAAAATTGTGCTGTACTCTGACACTATGCACTGAAATGTTAGTTGAAGTTGTTCTGTGTTTCAGATTATTTTCTGATTTTATTATTTGATCCCCAGTTAATTCAGCAACTGCAAGTAATTTACTCTGTCAGTCTGGTTAAATAGCTGTTACAGGTATCTTTCATTATGTGCTGTTCTTTCATATTAATTGTCACTTCTTTTTAATATCCTACCTCATTTTTTATTTTTTCTTATTACCATTTATACACTCCATTTAGTGCACTCTATTTTAATTAAAGTTCTTGGTGTTCATTACCGTAAATAGTATTGAGTGGCTTTCTGTTGCTGAACCACATGAAGTCCTCTTCTTTATTTTTTTCTCTCTAACAATTGATTCTAGGAATTCTGAGAACAATAACACATCCTTTACAGAGGATGAGTTGTCTGGAAAAAAGTTTCAAATTGTGTGGATTCCTAGGCTGTGACATTGTTTCCTATGGTTACCTCTTTTCCTGCTTTAGAATGGAACTCGCATGGTTTAAGTTCTTTGGATTTTTAAACTTTTTTTCAGTCCTCCTTCAGGGGAGGAGTAACTTTTTCCCCCTCATCAATAGCTGTGCCTTCTCTAGAGGTCTGTTAATGTAACATCTCCCCAGAGGCACTTGTTCCCTGGAGTGTATTTGTAGCAGTACCTGCCTGAAGCCAACTCATCCCTTGGATTCTTTTTTTTTCAACTGTGGAGAGATTTCCTGACTTCTGGGGTGACTTCTCACTGCCAGACACTGTTGTCATACTGTAAGCAGAGTCACCTGCTCTGAAAGTCACCTAAGGTAAGGCTTAGGTGTGGGGATGCTGACAAGTAAAATTATTGCTTAAAGTTCACTTTTAAAATTTTTCCTCCATTTTAACCCTCCTGTTTGGCCACAGTGGATAATGTACTTTTCCCGAGCATGTGCCAAAACCGAGTGAGTTTTCTGTCCTACCTCATTCTAACAGTGTACAAAGCATAACTGGAATGGGGCAGGATTATTAAAGTTTCATTCAGACCCTTCTCCCTCCAGCTGTGGCAGTGGCTTAATACTAAACTGCTTTGGGAGTATGAAATCCTCCAGAAATCTCATATCCAAAATCCAGTTTTAAAAGTAGTGGCACTTGAATTGCTGGACCCCAATGGCAAAGGTTAACTTTGTGTGAGTTTGCACACAGGCTTAATTTAAGATTGCTGGAATTTTCCATCCCTTCCTCCCTCTGTTTCCTTTAAAGGAATTCTACTGGACAATGGAAGAGTTTTTCTGGAGGAGATTTAATGAGAAGGGGGCTACTGAGCCTGAGTCATCTTTACAGCTAACAAATGTATCCATTTCAATAAGTCACTACTCATGGCTTAAACATGGTTCACTCCCATTGTGTAAATGCACAAGCAGGGTTGTGGTTTGGCATCTGGGACCTGCAACTTGGTGTAACATTTCAGAGTCGTGACATTCACTTTGTACATGGGATTGTTTGGGCAGCTGAGCAACAGCACCTTCCCCGTGAGCACTGAAGGCTGCTCTTGTTTGCTCTGAAAGACTTGTACAACTGGGCACTTCACCAGAATAAAAGTTTTAATTTGCATTTTCTTTCTGTGTCTGCTTTCTTTGGTGTTTCCTGTGTATAAGGCATTCAACCCTCTGTGATGTCACTTTTCGAAAGACAGATGCTAGTAATTCCAGCTATTGTGTAGGATTATAGGTTCTTTTACTCTTTACATGTCCTTGTGGGTTATGACAATCCTTTATGAATGAAGTAGATGTACAGAAAAAGAAGTGCTGCTCTGTGACGAGCTGAAGCTGTGTAACTCATTTCACTATCACTTCAAGAAGTGTCTGAAACAGTTTCTGTTGCTGAATTTAAGGCTGTTGCCATAGGAATTGTCTTCAGACTGGTAAATTATTTCAGTACCTGCCTTCCCCATGGACTCCTTACCTGGAAATGCTGACAGATAGTATATTTCCCAATTCATGATGTGTTACAGAGAATCAGCCTGTGACTTGCAAAGGAAATTTGAGTTTCTGTGCAGCTCTTTTATTGTGTAGAAAGGTGTTTCTCTTGTGTTTTGCCTTCCCTCATTTCCTTTGTCCATGGCTACTTGACCAAAGTGACATTGGCCCCACTTCAGACAGCAGGTTTTGAAACAGGGGAGTGGGAGTTTGCCATGCTGCTTTTTGATGAGTTTTAATGAAATGCAGGACTGAACCAAGAAAGGAGAGGACAAAATGTCCCTTGTCATCCAAGGCTCACCTGGACCTCAGCTCCTTTTGGCTGGTTTATCTTTTGGAGGATTGAGCTGAGGAAATCATGCTTCCTTTGCTCCTTGTTTCTCATTAAATATTCTGTCATTTGTTGCTGATCACATCAAAGACTTTAGGAGAGCTGAGGTGGTCCAGTGGAAATTTTTCCTCCCTGACAACCCTGGCAGCTCCACAGCAGCAGTTTTGGTGCAAATGCTGAGCTGCTTGAGCTGTCTTGGCTCCAAATGGATTCAACAGGAACCCTTATTGGGTACTCATGCCAGTCCAAAAGGCATTTGAAACTCCTGATCTGTACCTTTCCTACAGCCATGGGATGGGCTTTGGCAGCCTCTAATGGAGTTTGCCAGAAGTTTTCTTGCAGAGCTGGCAGGAAAAAATGTTGAGTCTGCAAAAAGAGCTCTTGGAGGGAGAGGAAGGAAAAGGAGCCATTTCCCAGTTTTGTCTAAGTACTATCAACCTTTAAACTTACTGGGAGAGAAGGCTGTGCAGCAGTGGCATCCTTCTCTTTGACTTTTTTTGGGCATTGTCTGGCCGAAGTGTTTTTTCTCTTGCTGGAAAGGTCTTTCTGAGCCTCAAAACAGGGGATGGCTGGAGTGGCAAAGACCAGGAGGACTCTGAAGGACAGACATGGAAAGCAGCTCCTGGAACCAGATGGGCTTTATCTCCTGGCAGCTGCTGCATTGCTTGCTGTGATCTGCTGTTTATATTGTTCAAAACATTCCATGGAACAGGAAAACTGTGGTTTGCTGCCGTGGCATGAACCAAAACAGCCTCTGGAGTCATCGTGTGTGTGTAAGGTGGGGAGTGGAGAAGGTGACGTCATAAATTACGGGAAAAAAACCACCGTGTGTGGGAATGAGAAGGACGTGACACCACAGTGACAGAGAGGGACTAAGGAGTGGCACGGGAGTGTTTTCCAGGAGTGTTTCTCCAGGATTGCTGCCTCCCAGGGAGGGGTGAGGTGGGTCACACCATCACCTTACAGCCAACAGCCTACAGCTGTTTTTTTCCCCATTGGTCACGCATCTTCCTTAAAAACTTTTCCACTCCATCAGCTGGTGAGAGACTGTTAAGAGGAAGGAGGAACTACTGGAATATGTTTTTTGAGCTTTGCAGCATTGGAGACTGATTGATTTACCCCTCCCAGGTTTGTAGTCCAGTGATTAAAGTCTCTGGCAGAATTTAGCTTTTTAAACTACTGAATTCATATCCTCCTGTGTACAGAGAAAGGCCTGAAAAACGTTTAAAATCTTAAACCCCTAATTTCCTCTTTATTTAAGAAAAAGAGAAAATTTTAGTTAGGTGTGGAGGGATTTTTTCCACAATTCCCTTACAGAATAGAAAACTTAATTTTTTCAAACAACCTCTCTTTAAATGGATTTTCAGTTGCTAGGATGTAAACACTTCTGTGAGCATTTTGCATTCCTTCCTTTTGCTGGGTTTTCCTTTGGCTGGGTGAGTGATGCAAGAATCCTCCCCCATGGTGTTATTTTTGTGAAGTGCTGCTGCAAGAGTGTTTTCGGTGTTTCCTGTAGGAGCCAAACACATTTTCTTCTATAGAGAAAAACCTTTCCCGGGGATTCCCGGTGGGAGGGATGTGTTGGCTGGGAGCGCCACCGCTGGGTTGGCAACTGTTCCTCCCTCCTTCTCTGCCTTTTAGACCCATTTTCTGCATTTTTGCTCTTTGGTTTGAACTTTGGGTGGATTTGGCTTTACTTATTTGCAAATATTACATGGACTTCTGGACCTGCAGGGGAGTAAACAGAGCGACTGAAGGTGTAAATTACCAAAAAGCAGCTGTGAATGAAAATAGCAGAAGTATTCTCTGTGGGTTTTACCAAACCCTCAGTGAAAGCTCTTTGCCACCCTTTAGTCTGTTTGTCGCCTCCTGGGCTGGGGAGCCCTTTCAGGGGATTTGCTCAAGTGCTGGCAGGACTCACTGACTAAGCAAAAAGGGCTCTCTAAGACCCTGACTCAGTACTTTAAATTTGTTCTAAGACATCTTGATCTTTTTTCACACTTGAATCCCATTTTACCTCCTCCCCCCCCTTATCTTACTTACTCCTGCAATTATCAGTTTAACTGCCCTATTTTTAAATCTGGGTTATTAATTAAAAGTGATTCCTCCTTGGAGCTCAAATGTTCATCACATTTATGATTGCACTTGAATAGAAAATTTTTGTGTGCTTTGTTACCACCAAGAGCCAAAGCAATACCGTGCAGTGCTCAATGTCCGTGCCAGGAACAAAAAACTGGCGATGGAGACAAAAACCTCTGGAGCTGTGCAAGAGTCCAAGTGCCCAGCGCTGGCTTTTATCACATGCTGGGACAAGGATCACGTGGAGAGGCGGGGAGCCAGCCCTGCAGAGCCCGGGTGACATCGTGGTGGTGGTGGTGGGGTCTGGGGAGCTCCTGCTCCGATGGCATCCGTAACCCAGCATCACATCCAGAAGGTAAGGAGCTGCTCCAGAGTGCACGAAGGTGACACTGTGTGTAAGGTACAGTCACTGCTAGTTAACCTGGCAGCAGATCCAGCAAAGATTTGCTTTACAAACACTTTATATTCTCCTCAGCTTTCTGTATTACGTGAATTTTAGTGTGTGAGTGTCACGGCTACAAACTCTTCCGGGGGCAGCTTGTCCCACAGAGCTCGTGGAGGGATTTCTCCTGTGCCCCTTCTGTCTCTGCTGCTCGGCTCTCATCCCTGAACTCGAAATCTTCCTGGCAAAGGATAATCTCCAGGGTATTCTATATAAAGAAACTGAGTTCACTGCCAACAGAGTTCATTTTGTAAAGGATTGTGTAGTGAACTGTGAGAAATCACCCAGGGATGTTTTTCCTTAGAGAGAACAAAGCTTTCCAGCTTGTAAAGGAATCTCATTTTGATTTAGCACACAGGTATGGCTGTGTGTTTGTGTTAGTGGGCTTGGTAGTTTGATTAATAGATGCTGGTTACAGGTATTAGATAAGATATCCTTGAACCACAAACGGCTCTAGTGATGAGATCTTCTCTGTTTTGTGTAGGCTGAGGGATTGAAATATATTGTTCTTAATTGTTTGGAATTTCAGCCTCTTAATGAATCTTTCGCAACAGAAGCCCCTCCTAAAATTAAAAATTAAGAAATGCTGCCTGGCTGCAGAGCCGGAGCTGGGATGCTTTTCACCCTATAAAGAGCCAGAACTGTTTTCTCTCGCTTTGTGCTGCTTCCCTGGAGGGCTCTGGGGAAGAGCAGTCACCCCATCTCTTCCAGTTCCACAAGGATGGCTTCCTTGTCCTGGAGCAGTTTTTCAGCGCAGAGGAGTGTGACAGCATGAGGAGCCAGATCCAGAGAATCGTGGCGGGGATGGAGGTGCCTCCGCACTGCCGCACCGCCTTCTCCACCAGGGAGGAGGAGCAGCTCCGGGCGCAGGTACCGGGAAGGGCAGGGCTGCCCCTGTTGGAGCGCTGGGAAGAGGAAGGGAAAAGGCAAATTGCTGATCAGGGTTCACTCTGGAGGAACACGGCTCTTCCTTCTAACTGTACATAACACCCAGAGAGGAATTTGCTCTCCAGCTTTCTGCAAATGTTTGCTGGGATCTTATCCAAGAGTCTCACCAGTGTGCGGCTCTGCCGCGCTGTCAACCCCCGGTAAACACAGGCAGCTCTCACAGATCACTTTGTAGATGTTCTGCAGACAGCAAACCGGTTATTTTCCAGGCAGCCAGCAAAAGGAAAGCGAGGGTAACCTCTATGTGAGAGGTTCTTGTAAAGCCCTTATCAGCACCAAGACGTGTAGTGTTGTGGAAAGCCGTTTTATGAGTGATTTTTCACTGTGTTTTGTTTATGCTGCGGCTTGGTGGGAAAAAGATGCAGGTGAGTGTTAATGCTTTGATTGAAGGTTCATTTACGTTTTTACAAGGATGCTTATCTTTACTGGGCTCTTATCCCTGGCAGGGTAGCTCGGATTATTTCCTAACCAGTGGAGACAAGATTAGATTCTTCTTTGAGAAAGGTGTTTTGGATGAGAAAGGTAAGCCCTGGCCTGAATTATCCACACGGAGGGGATGGGAAAAGGCTGAGTGAGGGATCAGGGCCCAGTTTCCATCTCAAGGAATGATTCCTGCTTTTCAAACAATGTCAAATTATGGTTTTGTTTTGTAGGTAACTTTCTAATTCCAAAGGAGAAGTCTGTCAGCAAGATTGGCCATGGTATGTTTATAGGATGGGGTTTTGAGAGGGATGGACAAAAGAGATGTGGTTTTCAGACATGAGGATTTCTCCAGACACTGTATATAACTGCCTCTGTAATTCCATCCATGCTGCCTCTCACTCTCTGCTCTCAGAGGACCATATTTTCTGTTCCAATCCTTTTCAAAAACCCCTTCTCAGAGGTTTTTCAATAATGAATAGCTCAGAGTCACTGACATGTGAAAGTTTGGACTTCAGCCCTTGGTTCTTTTTAGAGCAAATCTCTTACATAAAATATACCACCTGAGACTGGTGATATTCAATACAGACCAAACTCTCTCCTGTGTCCTGTGCCCTGCTGGGTTGCTGATATTGAAGCTGGCCTCCCTCTCGTGGAGTCACCAACACTTTTTCTTTACCCTTACCAGTCTGTTTGACCTATTTCTTCTCTCCCAGTTTCTGGACTTGCATTTTCACATTTTTTTTTCAAACAATACATGGAAAAGGAGAGCAGGATTCCCTGCGCCTGCAAATGTGAACTTTGTTCAGACTAAATTTCACTACAGTTGGAAATTCAGTACTAAGAGTTCTTGTTCTTTGGTTTTCTCAGAACAAGAGTCTCCTCCTCCCAGGCCTGCTGTTATTCGGTCACACTTCAGCTTTTTTCTCACGGGAAGTGAAAACAACTGTAGATTCCTGCTGACCCAGCAACTTAACAGTTCAAAAGCCTTCTCTAGTCTTATTTTCTGTAATTACTCATTTTGGTCAAGTCTCATTCCTTGCTTGAGAGCAGCTCCTGCTGGACTTGGGCATGTGTCCTCATGGCAAATCTGGTCAGGATGAGCTGGAGGCACAACTCTGAGTCTTTGCTTTGTGGATTTGTCAGAGCTGGGTTGCAGCAAGAGTCTACACACTCTGACCTGCTGGCTGGGGCTCTCTGAAAGGCAGCAAAGATGAGCTCTAGCTCCTTTTTGCAGTATTTCACTTTTCCAGTAGGTCTTAAGAGGTGTGTTTTTAAAGGATGAATTCACCCATATGCCTCAGGGTCATGTGTAGTGGTTGTCATTTGTGTAATATAATATTGAATCACATAATATTCCATTTTGTTCACTTTATTGTACACTGGCTTTTATGTGTGTGCAGTTTGTGGCCAGGGTGTGATTATATTTAAGGTCTTTAATGATGATTGTACAACCTGTAAGTGTCCTATCACCTTAGGTGTGATTAGTCACATTTATCCATCTTGGGAAGGATGAAAGTTTCTGGCTGCAATTTATCCTGCTTGGCTATGGTGTCTGTAGCTCATCACTGAGAGTTGCCATGTTCCCTTCTCTTCCTGAAATCTTCTGTCTGAGCCTTTTCTTTCCCCTTAGCTCTACACGCTTATGATCCTGTCTTCAAGCAAATCACCCACTCCCCCAAGGTGCAGGTGAGCTTTTATTGCTTCCTAGAATGGTCTTGGGGAAAACAAATAAATTGCAGAGTAGTTAATTTTAGTTTTCTACACTCCCGGGGGAGTCATTTTATCAGTGAAAGGAAATTTAAATATCTTCAAATAATAATGCTAAATAGTGTGCAGAAAACATAAATATTGGAAAATTTTCTTGCAGGAACTGGGAAGAAAACTAGGCCTTGAGAAACCAGTAGTTGTGCAGAGCATGTATATCTTCAAGGTACAGTAATTCAAGTTGTCTTGTCACTCAAGAAATAAGACTCTGTTAAGTGAGAAGCTGTGAAACTCTTCACACATCATTTTTATTTTCTTTGCAGCAACCTGGCATTGGTGGTGAAGGTGAGATTTGTGTTATCTCTGTATCACGCTGCAGATAATGCTCCTTTAGGAAAGGAATATTACCAGGGAAAAGGCTCAGAATCAGACTTAAACCTGTGAGTTTGGTGGTCCAGACCTTCTTAAAATAATCTTTGAAATTCACATTTTTTCCGAAAAGTTTCTACATCATATGCAGCTCGAACAAAGAGCTGTTTGTACATTTGCAGCAGGCTAAAAGGTGTTTTTTAATCTAAGATTTAATGTGTGTGATAGGTAGGTGGGCAGGGAAGGGCTCTGAGTCAGAGAGATGCAACCCTGAAGTCCTTCTAAGAGGAACTAAATCCCATTTAAGACCCTAATGACAGTGTCTTCTTGCAGTGACACCACACCAGGATGCCACCTTCCTGCACACGGAGCCCCTGGGCAGGATCCTGGGCTTCTGGATTGCCCTGGAAGATGCCACACAGGAGAATGGCTGTTTGTGGTTCATCCCTGGCTCTCACACCAGTAAGAGCCTGTGTGTGACCACTGCTGGTCACCAGCACAATTCTGCTTTTCCCCACCTCTAGAGCACACAGAGCAGCTTTAAACTTCTGCTCACCTAAAGATTCACTCAGTGAATGTAATCATAGTGCTCTTCAGATTTTAAGCCACTCATTCCTCAAATCCTGGAACCAGCTGTATTCATATCATGGTTTATGCTCCTATAGAAAGCACAAGTGGACCAAAGGTTGGCTTTGCATAAGTGTGTGATTATTTGTGTTCCTAAGGGTCTGTTGCAATGCACAGAAGGGGCCAGAAAGGCAATCAAAAGGCAGCTGTTTTATCTGTTTCTGCCACAGCTGGAAAATCCTAAATCTCTACTTAATGAAAACGACCCCACCCAAATTGCCAAGAGAATTTGCCAAGAGAAATCACTGCTGTTGTTCCTTTGCTGTGCAGAGTGTAGCCAGGTGTTAAATTTTTGTGTGTTGGCTTGTTCTGTGGATTTGCAGATGGAATTGCCCGGAGGATGGTCCGTGCAGCTTCAGGTGCCTCAACATGTGTGGAGTTTGTAGGCTCAGAGCCAGCCTACGATGACAAGCAGTTCATACCTCTGCCTATAAATAAAGGTACAAACAGCCCCAAGCGTGGCACTTCACAGCTCAGGAAAACAGAAGGGAGCTAAAATCCCGTTTTAACCCTGTACCTTCCCTTCCACTAGAAAGCCAGAGCTTATCTTTTGGAAAACAGCAGTCCAGGTGATTCTTTCCCACAGGTGGACTCATCCTCATCCATGGTGAGGTTGTCCATAAGAGTGAACTCAACAGCTCAGGGTCTTCTCGCCACGCATTCACCTTCCACGTGATGGAAGCCAAAGGCACCACCTGGAGCAAAGAGAACTGGTAAGGTTGTGATCCTCATAAGTGGCTGAGGAAATGGAAGCCTTTCCAGTGCAATAGTTAGGATAACTCTTGGGGGTCTTGCCTGGACAGTTTGTTGGTAGTGCCTCAGCTGGTGTCGATTTCATACCTGCAGAAGTGGAGTAGCGTCTGAAGTTTTGATTTTATCTCTTCTTTCCTCCCTAGGCTCCAGCCAACTCCTGAACTGCCTTTTCCATCACTCTACACTTGAAGTTGGTGACTGGCTTGTGGAGTCAATAGCTGATCAATATTCCTTTCTGATTGTTCATTCACGGTCTCTTTAAAAACAGCCTTTACTGGATCAGCTCTGTGTTCATTTATCCTCCTCCTCAAAACCAGGACCATTATCACAGCCCAAAACCTGCAGTAGACAGAAGCTTCCACTGCAGCAGGAGCCCTGCCAGTATGAGAGTAGTCACTCAGTCCTTTTGGTAAGGAAACACCTTCAGTCTTGAAAACAAACCAGTTCAGACCATTGACCTTGACTGGGACCACTTACCAAGTATTTCTCCTTGCAGACACTCAATGTTTTCTTGTGTTTAAGAGCTCAAGTGTATTTCTTGGCTGGTTGACTCCAGCAGTGCAAGTGAACATGTGGGGAGTTTTTCACCCCTAGGTTTCTGTCTTATTGTTGGAATAATAGTGATTTTAAAACAATCTTGTGGGTAAAATGAAGGAGGTCATCTGCTTTTTATAGTCAATCTTCTAAATACTCCTGGCAGACAGTAGCTGAGTGTTTTATCTCTGGGTGTGATTAAAAATATGACAATTTTTAAAGATTCATTTTGAATTTATGGAAACAAAGAACCTCAATCAAACTCTTTACATTTAATAAAAAGATAGAAATTCTCCTTTTCATTTCCATCATCTTTTCTTTGAGGAAGACACAGTGTGACCTTCTCCCAACAGATGGGGACAATGCTAAATTGTCTGGTAGAACAATTTCTATCCCCAAAACCTCACCAAACCCAAACCAAATTATAGCAAAGAATGTTTGGAAATGCAAACTACATCCCAGGCAAGCTCCAGTCTGTATCCTGAACTGAACAGGAGCTGTGTAGGTGTGATTTCACCAGCACTGGTGCAGGGGCAACCCTGAGACAGGTGCCCAGTGTCACCAGTGCGGGAATTATATCAGAATAACCCTAAGGCTGCTGAGGGCCATGGCAGAGTGGACCAAATCTTTTTGACTCATTCCTTTCAAAAGTAAATTGGAGAGCTGGGTCATGCAAACAGCAGGAACACTGAATGCAAAGTTTCTGCATTCAAAAACTACCTTTTTTACAGTTTGTTTGAAAGTTGGAAGCATGGTGGAAGGAAAGCAAATTTCTCTACCTCTGGTGCAATTTATAATGTCAGTGGTGAAGGCTGTGGCTTGTGACAGAAGCAACTCAAATTTTGTCTATGTCTTTCCATGAGAGGAGTTAATAATTTAGAATTCTGCTGAGGAGGGATAATTTGTCCTGACTTGCACCACTACCTGCAGTGTGTGGAACCATCTACTGCAAGTGCATAAATAAAATTTAAAAAGCTGGATTGATTGGCAGGATTTCCTGTTATATGTGAAGGAAACAGCCCAGCAGTTACTGAATTTGGTTTCCAACAGAGTATCTGACAATTTACTGTGCTAGTAACCAGCTCTGGCCAACTCTGGCATCTTCAGGAAAAGCAGCACCAAATCCTAGGAGCCTTCCCAGGCAGGAGGATGAATTAGGCAATGCTGCTTCTCACTATTCCAGTCCTGACTTGTTGCAGGGACACACAATATTGAATTCTGGGGCAATTCTTTTTACCCAGGCACTGGTTTCACTCCACTTCCCATGGCATGATCTGAGCTACAGGCCTGCAGGACAGTGTTGTGTAAGGTACCTTGGACTTCCCCCAAACTGTTCCCAAAAGCGAATTAAAAAAGGGTCAGAAGTGAACTTCATGATGCAAACTAGAATCCTGGAATGCCAATCTCCTGCTTGGGCACATCCCTGGAGACAGGAAGGACACTTGTGTTTTGTTCTAGTGGACACTGGGCAAACCAGTGAGAAGAGATTGTTAATACAGAAGGGTTTCATACATAGAAATGAAGCAGTCCCACATTTTGGCCACAAAATGGATGGATTCAGTAGCTTTAGTCAATTTGTTGATAGAAGCATTTTTATAAATTATTTGATTACACATCAGGCTGAAAAAATGTGAAAAGTAGGAAAGTGTAATAGTAGAAAATTTTATTGACTTCAACAGATTTTCAACTTTCAGGATTAACGTGTAATTGCTTAATAATTAACGTGCTTAACGTTAATTAACGTGCTTTGCTTAATATCCCCCTATATTAATCCCAAATTAATTTAGAGATCAAATCTTGAGAAAGATAAAACATTTTTCTTGCTGTAGCAAACTTCAGGGCTAAAGATTCACTATTCTTTTTAGTATGGTCAGGAATGAGCAGTGTCTGACATTCCCAAACCTTCACCCCCCACCCTGGATAACTCAGCTGTGGCAGCTACTGATTTTGGAGTTGTGTTTGTGCATTGTAGTGTGGTTTTGACTCTTGCTGATGAGGACTGGACATAGCTGGACACTTATACCTGGTTCCTGTGCCCACCTTTGTTATCAAACGTGCTTTACATTATGCTTATACAGAAATGAGAGTTCACACATCAAACACAAGACGCAGGACTCAGTACAGAATACAAGGTACAGTACAGAGGTAGCAACATCTGAGACACTTGCTTGTTTATTTTTTCCTCTCTAATTGACTTACCTCTTCTTCCTCTGCTTCCCTTGGGCACCCGGAAGAAACTTAAATTGGTTTATTAAACACAAGTGCTGTTTTTATCAGTCGTGTTTGTTGCTGTTAGAACATGAATCCGGCTATTTTTGACAGGGGTAAAAACTAGACCAAATCAAAACCTTTACTTCAAATAAGTCTTTTTCATTTCTATTCTCAACAATTTTCTCTGCTGTACCAAAAGATCAGCTCTGAGCTTTTATTACAGTGCATTTTCTAGTACCTTTCTCTAGGAAGGGAGAAAACTGTTCCTGGAAGTGCTTCTATGCCATGAGCATGATCTGGAGGTAGAGAGGCAACAGCAGATTATCAATTTGAGTAGTGTAAGCTTCCAAAAGAGAAACCAAACTCACAGATGCCAGAATCCAGGCATAGCTGGAGTTCAGATTCACACTGCTGTCAAAGATCAGAATGAGAGCCACAGCAATGATCTGTGCAAAAATAGCTGTCATTGTCCCTTCAAAGGTCTTCTTTGTTCCTGGCCATTTGATTTCCCCCATTGTACTGCCAAAAACAGAGGCAATGGTGTCTCCTACCCCTACTGCTAACACCCCAGAATAGGGGACCAGGGCTCCTGCCCCGGGCAAGGTGCCTTTAGGAGCACAAGATCTGGGAAACAACCACACTGGGAGGGACATGCCAAGGAGGAGATAAATATGAGTCAAGATTAGAGGTCCACTGTCTCTTTCATCCAAGAAGAGAGAGAGCAGATGCCTCAGGGTTTGTCCAAAAGGTTTGATCCTGAAGTACCGAACGTACTCTAAGAAGATAAACACTGCCAGACACAGCACTGCAGCAACATAGAGGAGCTGGCGGTCATAAATGAGTCCAGGAACATAAGTAGCTACAACAATGAAATGGAAATATTTCCTGGTTATAGTGGAGGCCTGGTGTTTTTTAGATTCAGATGATCTCTTGGCGTTCTGGTAGAAAACCACACCACATGCTGAGGCAGCCAAAAAAGTCCAATACACAAGAAGGTAAAGTCTTGTCTGTGTCTGAAACAGAAACTGGAGCAGCCAGAACAAAGGGTTCCTGTGGATCAGTCGGTACAGCCAAGGCATGATGACCCCTAAGCCTAACACTGCTGTCATCATGTGGAAAAACATAGAGGAGATCCACGTGCACGAATCCATGAAAATGAAGAGCACAGTGAAAAAAAGACCAAGAAGAATGACTCCAACAACTGCTACCAGAAGGAAGAAGTCAATGGGATCCCCTCTGCCCTCGATTACATTCAGTGAGCGTTTAATGAGCTGGTTGAGAACAAAACTTACACCTCCAAGAACCAGCAGCGCTTCTCCGGGAGTAAAACATCGAGGCAACAAGTACAGCAAGATCATACTGAGGTAGACAAAAATGAGCAGCACTTCTAGAACCTCTATCACTTCTGAGACAGTCAAGGAATGTTTCATGGTGTAGATAATTACGCTGCCAGCAATACCAGTCAGGATGCAAGTGTTGGTTGGCACAGGCTTGGTGATGCCAACTGCTAAGACGGACAGGAAGAGAGCGAGCAGCATTCCCGTGGAAGCCACGACGATGCCAAAGCGCTCGAAGTAGACGATGCCAGCAGCCCTGCACCTCTCCTTCATCACCACCCCCAGCAGGGGCATGACCATGCTGGCAGGCAGGAGGCCGCTGTTGGCTGCCCCCCGGAACTGGAACACGGCCCCCCCCAGCTGCAGCAGCCGGTCCCATTTGAACTGCACGTAGAAGGCCTGGATGGCCAAAGCCACGGTGCACCAGGAGAACCTGTCCCACACCACGGCGTGCACCAACAGCACCACGGTGAACACCAGCAGTGACTCCACCAGCACTGCTTTGTTTAACATGATTCCAGCCCAACCTGCCTCAAGCTTGCAGGATCTCAGCAGTTCCAATGTGCTCAGCTGTCCATTAGGAAGAATTCCTTTCCGTGCTACTGTAATTCCTATTAAAAAAAAACAAAACAAGTAATTAAAGCAACTATTTGGACAGCTAAAATGTTTGCACAGCTATTTTGTTCTTAAACTCAGTTTAAACTGATAGTTATGTGCCAACTGCTAATGTCAACACACAGCTGATCAAAAAAACCCACACCAACAACCAGTGAGGTGAGCCAATCCTGCACTTTGCCTTCTCTAAGTGAAGGCTCACAGCTCACTGACAGCTGCCCTGCAAACCAAACTTCCCTATAAACTTTTAGACTGGAAGATAAACAGTTGAGATAATCAGCAACAGGCATATTTACCCTGATAGGTTAAATCTCATCTTATCTTCTTCAAAGAATTGTGGGCATTAACAACATTGTGCAATTCTCACCAGCATTTATTGCTTTCTGGCAACCTTGATTTCTCTGTGGATACATAAACCTCTGCCATTACACTGGCACCTCTTCTGAGGTCTTTGAAGGTCTCAGGTTCTTTATTTCTGTTGGAAATATTATGGTTGATCCAGTTGTGAAACAAGGGATTACTTTATCCTTTCTGGCCCACCCTTAAGCTGATTAGCAGGAAAAATTCTACTCCCCCAGTCTCATTGCCAGTATCTACACCAGCTCCCTCACAGAAGGCCAGAAGTTTTTTTAAGGTTCTCTTTTGGGTTTTCAGCCAGTGTTAAATGGTGATACCAGATTACAAAGCTGACAAAGTAATAGCAGTATTACTGAGGAACTATTACATCTTGTACTGTCAAACATCCCTAGACAGTGTGTCTGCAGTATTTAGATATTTATGACTTCGTACTGAAAACTTAATTACTGATAGATTACTTTTTGGCATCCTTATTCATATAGCCTGAAATACTTGATTGCCAAACAGCTTCATCACATGCATTGTTGCTACACGGCTCCATGAGGCCAAATGTAATCTTTTGTCATTGCAATTAATTTTTAAACAGAAGAAGAATTAATCATGCAGTAAAAAACAACCCAGGCCTGGTCTGGGCAGTATCTACCTCCAACCAATAATGGTTTTGGGGTCCTACTCTCTGCTGTTTTTGAGCATTGGGGAGGGCGAAGCCTAAGGCTTATTTGAGAAGAAGCAGAGCAAATGTCACCTGCCAACCAAAGACCGAGTCCTCCTACTCAGTCTGGCAACCTTAAGATTGCACTCCAGCTCCTGTATCAATGGCACGTGACAGCTTCCCCGCTTGGCTGCCAGACTGGGCAGAGTTTCACCCTGGCTGAGTGAGGTCTCTGATGCAGTAGCTCTGAATGTTTAGACCTTACACTCTGCAACGAGATGTATTTCACTGCCGAGTTATTTCGTTTTCTTGTGCCTGCCGCAATCCCCTCCTCCTTCCACGTAATGTGAAGTTCCCCGGCACTGCGGCTCTCATCACCGAACGGGACCCATCACCCTGCGGGTCAAGCCAGACCGAGCGTTTTCTGCCCGTTTCGTGATCCGCATCCCGGTTGCTCAGGCCAGGGAAGCTTCCCACTGACGCGCTGTCAAACATCCCGTAGCCCTCGCCTCGCTGCAGCCTCTGCGTGCTCCCTCTCTTCCCCACGCCCCCGCAGCGCTGTGGACTCCCCTCAACGCGCGGGCTGCCCGCGCCCTGTCCTTCCACGCTGCTCGCCGCCGCCTCCTGTCCCTCTCAGCCGCGACACCCGCAACCCAGCCTCCAGCACTGAGAACGACAACCGCCTGACGGGAGGTATCGGAGGCACTCCCGGGTCATTCCCGGTTCCAGCGCGAAGCTGCGGCCCCGCCCCCGGGAGCCCAAGGCGCACCCACCTCGCAGGACGCCGCCATCTTGCTGAGCTGCTTGTCACATGACCCAGCCGTGAGGGCGCCCCGGGGGCGTGGCTTTGCCTGCACCACGTGACGCCGGCGTGGTTGAGGTAGGCGGGCCCGGCATCACGTGACAACGGAGCGAAGATGGCGGCGGGCGGGCTGAGCGCGAGGTGCGGGGCCGCGGCCGCTCGGGCGGAGGGAACGCGGGGGCAGCGTGGGGGAGGCCCCGGCTCTCGCTGCAGGCGGACCCCGCTCCGCGGAACTGGAGGCCGAGAGGGACCGGCGGGGAGGGGGCGCAGCGCAGGCTCGGGAGGTTTTAACTGCGGCGAGGCGCGCGCCGGGCTGGCCCCGCCCCCGCCTCGCGCGCGCGATGAGGCCCCGCCCCCCCGGCTGAGGGACCCTCAGGGACTCCCGGCCCCAAAAACCGGAGTGAGGAGCCACTCTCGGGGATTTTGTGGATATTTAATTGTGTCCTCCGGGATCGGAGGCTGGGCAGGACTCCGTGGCAGCCGTGGCTTTGGCGGGGCCGGGGGCTCGGTCCGCGCTCCCTTCGCGGGGGTGCCCGACAGACGCTCGGCTCTTCCCTGAGGGCGGCGGGCGCGCCGGGGCCGGCTGCGCCTCCCGCGCGGCTCCTGCGGACGTGCAAGTCACAATAAACACGTGGAGAGGTGTAACGGAAGCGATTCAATGAATCCCATGTTCAGTGATCGCCTTAGTTCGCTGGTTTCGTTTCTACAGAGCACGTTTTTTGTCACTTATTATGTAATGCTTTTGTGTTCTGGAGTTTCCCTAGTGTCTGATTTTTATTAAATTAATGACAGGGAGATTCCTTCCTTAGCTGTCTTGTAGCCTTATTAATGAGGGGACAACAAACCACGGTCTGTTTTATTCACAGCAGAGGTTGTGAAGGAGTGAAAAGTAGGTGGGTTTACTTTGCTAGGCTGGCGCTCAGATTTGACAAAAAGCGAAAGAAACTGCTCGCGACAAGTGAAGGCACTGATCTGACATGATCACTGAACCTGGAATTCATTGAATTACTATTTTTACATTGCTGTTCGATTCTTGGTAAAATTCTGGGCCTTTGGGTGCTCCGTGTGGGCTGGATGTCAGAGAAGTGCACCCAACTATCGAGGAATGTGCAGGGAGGAATTATGTTGATGGGTGTGCTGGAAATAACAGGTGTTGTCATTCATTAAGTGTCACCACATGTCAGAAATCGCAGATGACTTTCACTGCCACAGTGAGTTATTTTAATAATGTTATTCTAAAAATAAGGCAGTGAGTGTTCTTGTGTAGATAGTCTTTGCGTGGGGAGTTGGGGTGTTTAAATCCTCATTTATAATATGTAACAAATCATTTTTGTCTAAATTAAATTCTCTTTTTGGCAAATATCTTTTCTCTGGTCTACTGTAGGGAGACTTGTTTTGAGTGCATGTGCCAGGGTCAGGATGTGATCTGTAATTCCTTATAGTGCAGGTTGGCCTTTCTACAGAGTTCTCAGGAAGAAATGAGAAGCTGAGTGTAAATGTTTTGGTGTCTGTGTAAAGAAAGTGCAGTTTTTCACTTCATACAGTTTTATGCTCTGCTTAGAGTGGAGGATGAAACTGATGGAAGAATTTGTTTGAAGGAGAGCACTGAGTATAACAATAAAATACTGCTGTATGCTTTCATTAAGTTTCTTCTTAGGAGCCCTAAATGTTTAAATAGCAAAATCAAATTGAGCTGGTAACCTGATATCAATGTGAAGCTTTGATATGAATTCACAGGTCTTGCTGTGTCAGTAGTCACCCTCTCTGGGTTTTTCTAGAACATCTGAAACTCATTAGCTAAAAGCTAATGTTCTTATATCATTTTTCTCTCATTGCAGTGTCATTTGCTGCAAGTTAATTACAGTTTGAAAAGTGTAAGCTAAATGGAAGGTTAGAATAATTAATAATTAAAATACTCTCCACCTTTTCCTTGTGTTTGCAGGAGCAGCAGAGAATTATGGACAATTCTGCTAGGCAGATCAGCTTTAAGAGAACCAGTAAGTTCTTGCCATGGTGAGCAGGTTTGGCCATCACTTACTGGGCTCCATGGCCAAGTACATAATTTTTACATCTCTTTGAATATTAGTGAAAATATTTTTTTCTACTCTTCTTTCTTTCTCAGCATGTTTTTTGTTGCCATACCTCTGCTACTTGTTTATTCTCCCACTGTTTGTTTACAGCTGCATGAACTGCCTGGAAGGGTGTGTGGAAAAGGTGGTTCCCTTTTTGGAGTGCTGTTGCCTGGATTGCCCTGGGGTGTTCATGTGTGGTACAACTGCTGTCTTATTTTGAGGGCTGGAGCCTGTGCTTTCATGGATTTTCCCAGAGGTTGGGAATCCAGATGTTTCTGAACCCGGACCATTGCTTCCCTTTTCCTCACCCTCCCTAAGAACAGGCAGTGCAGCTCACTGCCCTGTTCAGCACTGCATCTGCAATCACTCTGAGCCACAGACACCCATCTTGTGTTGTTCCTCCTTCTTTGTGGTGGTGGAATTTCTTTGCTTTGCTGAAGTTTAACAGATCTAAAATTTGGTAATGCGCTTTGAGGGGTCTGTTCAGTGGTGTTTGGTTCTGTTTTAGGCCCAGATTGCTGCAGAGTTGAACAAGCACTGGCAGAGGCTGTTAGAAGGACTGTCGTACTACAAACCACCAAGGTACAGTCACTGCCTGATTTTAGAAATTAATCTCTAGTGGGGAGTTTCCTAGTAAGTAAAGAAAGGTTAGAGAATATTGTTGTATGAAATATTGAAAGGTCACTGAGGAAAGGGCAAATGTTCGGTTTAAACTGATAAAATGGAGAACTTTGAAATTATACCTATTTAATTCTTTCCTTGAGATTGCTGCATTTTTAATGACTAAAATTTCTTTTCACTTTAGTACGACTTCAGCAGAAAAAATTAAAGCTGATAAAGATGTAGCTGCTCCACTAAAAGAGTTGGGTCTGAGGGTCAGTAAGTTTTTGGTGAGTGAAGCTGCTCTTGGATTATTTTTCATCCCTGGAATGAATTGTTATTGGATTTTGATACTGAAGTAATCTTCGTGATGTTGAGTAGAGAGAAATTTAATGTCTTTTCAGTTCAAAGTAATCTGAAGGATGTTGAAGTGTGTATTGAGGCTCTTGGTCAAACTTCCAAAGTGATGAATAACTTTGAGATGCTGTGGTTTTCCTGGTTCTTTCCAGCAGCAGCCACCTGCTACTGGTCTGAGTTGAGTTCTTCCAGGTCAATTGCTCAGCTAAAAAGCTGATGTCCCTTAAATCAGTTGCCTTGTTTGACAATCCTCTCAGTTTACCTGTAAAGTTCTGTTTCTTTAAGCCAGAAGTTTAGAGTTCAATGACTGGTGGTACCTTTATTTAAATGATTGATGCTCCTTTAGCTGAAGTTAAGCTGCAGCTCAGTGGCATTAAAGCTTGTGTATTTGGCTTTAAAAGAAGTGCTGATTAAAGCATCTGCCTGGTGCAAAAATATTCTTTTGGCAAGTTATTTGTTTTGAAGATAAGAACTGCCTGAGTATTTGGAGAGAATCTTAATCTTTAACGAATTCAGTTGCCTTTTATTAATTTCAGATAATTTCTCGTTCTTTTGTTCAGGGTCTGGATGAAGAGCAGAGTGTGCAGTTGTTACAGTCTTATCTTCAAGAGGATTACAGAGGAACAAGAGACTCCCTGAAGGTCCATAGCTCCCATTTATGTTCTATTTACTCCACATCTTTCCTTAATAACAGTTGGGTTTTGATGCAAATGTGAGTCCTGGTTCTGACTGGGAAATGGCTTTGTAGCTTTTCTTCTCTGAAGCTGCATCCAAGCTTATTTCTTCGTTCTTGGATCTCTGCAGGAACTCAGCTCCTCTCTCTGTCACAGGAATACAAGAAAGCTACAGATTTGTGAATGAGAGTTGAGCTGAAAAATAAATACGTAGTTAAAAATGAGTGTTTTGGCTTTGTACTTTTGGAATCTGTTTTTCCAAGTGAGCTGGAAAGAAAATTTGTATTTTATTTGTTTCAGTCATTTTGTGAACATATATTTTGTCAGTAGATATTTCTCCAGTAGCTATTTATTTTGTTGTATTTTGTTTACAGACGGTTCTTCAGGATGAAAGGCAGAGTCAGGCTCTGATGCTGAAGGTTAGTCATTTCCACTTGTATTTTCTGTGGAAAAGACGTTGGCAGCAAACCTACTTTATTTCTGTGGAAAATCTTGAAATAATTGAAGTATTCCTTCATATAAAGGATGTCTGAAATTGAGGAATGTGCAGGTAGATTTGAAGAGTGTTAGTAATTGCTACAGAAATGAAATTTCAGCCTTGATATCGGGAAATTTAGTTGGGTAGGTGTACACTGCCTTATTTTCCAAAGCTTGTAGATTTGTGTGTCACTGTCTGACATGACAAAATTGATGATAATTTCTGGCAGACAGTAATAAGGATGTCTTTTTGCCTTTCCTTTTCATGTTTTCTCACTTAACAGTGTAATTACAGACCTGTCGTTATGGCAATGCTAGACTGAGTTGTGTAACATTAATTAAGTGTTGGTTTTTTTCCCCAAGTTCAGAGCTGCTCAGTTGAAATTCTGTCTGTAGTAACTCTGTATTCCTTTGGCGAAGGCCTTGGGAGTGGTTGTGAGAGGGAGGTGGCTGGGAGTTGAACACTGTGCCAGGTTGGCATTGATGGCACTTCACATTCACAGCTCGCTGACTACTACTATGAGGAGAGGATCTGCATCCTGCGCTGCGTGCTCCACCTGCTCACCTATTTCCAGGACGAGAGACACCCTTACACAGTGAGTACAGGACGTGATGTCATTGGAACAGGCTAAATATGGAAGCTGTGGGGTAATTCCCTGCTTGTGTAAAAAGCCCTTGAGTGTGCCTGTGAGAAGATCATGGACTTGTTTGTTTCTTTAAGGCACAGTACTTCCAGTGTGTTGAAAAGTTGGACAAGGAGCTCGTTCCGAATTACCGCAAACAGTTTGAAGCGCTGTACAAAGCAGAAGCTCCTACGTGGGAAACACACGGAAATCTCATGGTATTTTGTTTCTTACTGTTATTTATCAAGCTTATGAAGTCATTTCTTATATGTAGTGTATTGGAAAATACTTCTGTACAGATGCAGTTAAACAGAACATTTCTCGTGGCCAAAAAACATAAACTTTGTTTTCTCTGTTTTCTCTGTAATAGAACACACTTTTGCTCAGAGACAGAGTTTCATGAAACTTATTATTCCTTGTAATAAATCCATGGAGAGCACTGGGTCAACAGAGCCATTTATGTGTAGTTGGTCATGATCTCTCTGGGCTTAGAGTGGCTTTCCTTGCCATTGACACAGTTGCTGACACACAGGCTGTTGAAATGCCTCCACACTTCTCAGCTTCTGACTTCACTGGGTGCCCTGTGAGCTTTGACATGTGATGGTGGAACTTTCCTTTGTGCAGACAGAACGTCAGGTCTCCCGGTGGTTTGTGCAGTGCCTTCGGGAACAGTCCATGCTCCTGGAAGTCATCTTCCTCTACTATGCATACTTTGAAATGGCACCTGAGGAGCTCCTGGCATTTGCAAAGATGTTCAAAGAGCAGGGATTTGGCACGAGGCAAACCAACAGACATTTAGTAGATGAGAGCATGGATCACCTCGTGGATCGTATTGGGTAAGTGTTGTGTGTATTTGTGAAGTGGGTACAGCGCAATACAATTGTTTTTCTCAGGAAGAAATACATTTATAATTCTGTCTTCGTTGTTCTGTGTGGGCCATGATTCCAAGGGGGGATGAGAATCATGCCATACATCCTGGTGGCAGAGAGTTACAAAGGTGGAAAAGCTATCTTCAAATTTCAGTGATGCTTTTTTGTCTGCTCAACTACAAAAGGTAGTTCTGAAGGCTGTAATTTGTTCTGTACCAGCATTTCAAGACAAAATTTGGATTATATGTTGTTCATTTCTTGTGATTTCTTATTGCTTCAAAGAAAGCTGAACAAAGCAAACTGAAGGTTGCATTTTGACCTCTTATAGTTAAAAAAAAACCCCTCACCTGAATTCTCAAATAAAGGTTCTGACCTACTTGTTTTTATTTTTCTACTGCTTGTAGTTACTTTAGTGCTCTTATTCTGGTGGAAGGCATGGAAATTGACTCCCTCCATGAGCGTGCTTTGGATGACAGGACAGAGGAGCACAAGTTGGCCAACAATCAGCACATCCACCAGGTAAAATACTGGCAGAGTAACCAATCCTCCAGCCTAACGATACAGAACTTACTGTGATTACCCAGGTACTGCTGTGTCTGTGAATTTCTGGTCCTTGGGCTTGTTGACCAAGTGTAGAAACTGCCATCCACATACCATGAGAAGGACACAATCAGCTGTGTGCTTGTTGAGTGTGAATTACTTCCACATTTCAGTTATTTTGCTTTTGATTTGTCTCTGTGCAGGAGATGGACAATCAGCTGCTGCAGTTAGGGGATGTCTCACATCACGCTCCGGTGCTTTTGGCCTGGGCTCTGCTCCGTCACACCATAAACCCAGAGGAGTCCACAAACATCATCAGGAGGATGGGCAGCACTGCTATCCAGCTAAATGTCTTCCAGTATCTGACAAAGCTGCTGCGATCCCTCAGCAGTGGAGGCAAGAATGTGAGTTTCTTCAATTGTACATATAAGCTTTTGAAGGTCTAACTGTTCCTGATGTACAGCTATGATGGGAAGCAGATGACTGAACCAATGTTCTTTTAGAAGATGCATTAAAGTATGTTCTATCGCCTTAACCTTCTTTCAGTGAAGATCAGAAATCAAGTTGGAACAAAACGGATTGTTTTTCCAGAGAATTAAGAAAACCTTTGTAAAGCAAGGAACTACATCTCTCTTGAGCAGAATAGACTAAAATTAATCAAATTTTTTTATTGGCCTCTCTAGGTGTATTTGCCATTGTGGCTCTTGACTACTGGGTGATTTAACTCTGCAGTATTTTCTGTATAGGGTTTCATTAGACAACATGGTATATTAGGGTAAACTGCTTTATAGACAGAAGCCAGTGAAAGCAAATCCTTTTGATTCCTAGAAATGTTGAGTGCTTCTTTTTTATTATTTTGATGCCTGCAAGGCATTTCTAGTGATAATGGCAGGACTTTTCCTTTCAGAAGTATTTTGTGTTAATGTGGAACTTAACTAAGGACTGCTCCCTGTTTTGCTGATATATAAAAAAGGCAGTTACTTGGTGTGTAAAGCAGACTGAGTAGAGTTACAATGTGCTTGTAATTCATAGTGTTTTCCATAACAGCTTTGTGTACTCTTTCTTTGCAGTGTACTGCCAGCACAGCTTGTATGTGTATTTATGGGCTTCTTTCCTTTGTCTTGACATCACTGGAATTACATACATTGGGCAATCAGCAGGTAAGCATCCAAGACCATTTGCATTTTTTACATAATTTAAAATAAACTCTCATAACTGATGCTAATTGCCTATTAAATTGTAATTCACACTGCAAACTTTATGAGGCTTAGGTAGACCCAAATTACTGATTTGCTGGTTTTCCTACTGCATTTACACCATGCAAATCTACACCTCTACAGACTGGCAGATTAGTAATGAAAGAGCACATTGTGCATTTAAAGTTCTGTGTTTATGAAACTCATTGTTGATCTGTTATTCCCAAAACAAAGGAAATAATACAAACTCCATTTCTGAGTTGGACTGGACATTTTACAGCCCTCTGCAGATATGGTGGATGTGTTTGTTGTGGCCAGTTCATTGGATGAGGAGCATAGCTTTAGGTTGTGGTCTGGAGTGGGTGTGTTGGCTGTGTTTTGGCTCCAGGAAGTAGTTACATCTTGGTGGGTAAACATGGAAACTTAAATTCCAAAGATGTGGCAGAACCTGGTTGGGATAAAATCTTCCTGTGTAAAGTAGCTTTGATTTTTTCCATCCTATCTTCCTTTGTAGGATATAATTGATGCTGCATGTGAAGTTCTGGCAGCTTCCAGCATTCCCCAGCTCTTCTGGAAGACGGTGAGTGTATTTGCAACTTCTTTGACCTACGTTGTTTATAACTAAGGCCTGATAAATGATTCCCTTTTAGGAAAGGAACAGGTTGATTGTATTTAGTGAGTTGGTTTCTAGGAGGGCCTGAGGAACAAATGTTCATTTACATCTATCTTTGATTTACTTTTGCCCTTTCCTGCTTTTTAGGTACAGCCTTGGCTTTACACTTGAAAAGGATACTGGAACGAGTTTTAATATAGGTGATAGTTGATAGCAGGGCTGGGGCTGCAAGGATTGAACTAACTGCTGGCAAAAGCATTGTGCTTATTTTTGTTGTCACAGAATTAGGATGATATGTAATGCCTTACAGTCTTACTTCTTGCCTTATACTTGCAGACTGCCTCATGCTTTAGTCTGTGCAAGTGTGATCTCCAGTCACTGGAGTGATACTTCTATGCATGATTAATGTTAAATGTACAGCTTAAAAAGAAGGTGTAACCTTGTGCTATACTGAGACCCTTTTTGCTTTTCTTTTTAGTAATAAGACATTTGTTTTCTGTTTCCACCACCAGGAACCTACTGCAGGTCTGGGTATTATCCTCGACAGTGTTTGTGGGATGTTCCCCCATCTTCTCACTCCTCTCCTTCAGCTGCTCCAAGCCCTTGTGTCTGATAAATCTACTGCAAAAAAGGTACAGAATCTCTCTTGGTGTTTGGGAGGTGATTTGTTTCAAGTCAGGGATGATATGAGCTGTGATTCTTCCTTTCCATTACGTGTGCTTATCTCAGTTTCAGTCTTAGGTAACAGACATAAATCTAAGAGCAGTGGACACAGCTCCTTCAGAGTTGTGTGCTGTTGCAGGATGCTGTTTTCTGGCTTTTAGAAAATTTTTCAACTTTAATGGTTGAAGATTAAGATAATAATTTTTTTTAGGTGGTACTTACCTGATTATTTAGATGAGA